AGGTCTGTCCACTCTCATGGGCTCATCAGTCGGTGCCCTGATTGTAGTGGTGGTGTCATTGGTCTCGCCGTACAGATCCATGAGTTTTCCCAAATCAAACTTCGGTTTCTTGAGGACCTTAACCTTCCTGACCATCACGTCGTGCAACGGGTATATCCAGTGACACGCCTTCTCGATCTCTGTGGCGAACGAGTCGGGTATCAGGTCTCTGACCACATCCTTCAGCTCTTTGCACTGAACCATGTCTTGTATGATATCAGTCATCACTTTGCGGATCCGTTTCGATTGCATGTACTGCGCGTACGACGTCTTCTTCACCTGATTTGGTTGTCTTTTAGTGAATCCAATGACAAACACTCGCAACAGATAGCCATCGGTGGTGCGTACGTCCACATTGGCCTCAATCATTGTCTGCCACTTCCGTATCATTGACTATTAGCTTTACATAAGCGATACATTAGCTTATCTGTGGTCAGATCCATGCCGTGAAAGTTGGTTAAGACACTCCTTCCCTGAACGTCTTCGGCGATCAGCCGGATCTTCTTGCAGGCGATCTCATCGCTCTGGAGGTCAGCCAATGACACCTCGAATACCCGTCCCTTTAGGCCTTCCGACGCGATTCTGGTTCCTTGGGTTCGGTTGACCAGAGTTTTGCCCACATGTCTGACCTGAAACATGGGTGGGCTCTTCACATCATACCACTCCTTGCGAGTGAACGGATTCACGACCTTCTTCTTCGTACCCTTTTTGCCCCCTTTTTGCCCCCTTTGGGTAAACCCTTGTTCTTCCCACAGCCATTGCACGGATCAGTTGCTCACAAACACGTGATTTAGTGGTTAATCATAATTCAAATGACCCCAAATTTATGGTCAAAACAGGTGTGTAGTAAATTAATTATAATACTGTACTCAGGTTTATTATTAATACAGTACAGTAGTACCAAATTGACCGTGTTCATAAAATGTGTGACTAATTACTAACAAATTACAGTATAATATTTTAGGATTAGAAAATTTTGTATGAGTTAATTATATGAATTTTAATTTAGAAAAGTAAATAGTTCACTAACTTATAAATATAAATGATTTTTACTTTAAAATCTTAAATTAAATCAAAATTAATGGAATAATAAATAAAATAAACTTTAATTATAAATATGTCTTAAATCTCTAAATAAATTAATGAAATATACATTTTTCAAATTTACTTTTTTTATCAAAAAGAGTAAGAAATGTTATATAATTTACATTATTTAATATGATTAACTTTGAAGTAAATACATTTGTAATGTTTTATAATTAAGTTAAATTAAGATTTCTGTTTTTGTGATTTAATTATTATTTATGTTTTCAAATGTTAATTAGTTTCTAGGTTCTTCATATCTACACTTTATCGATCCGTTTACTAATTTCTATACATGACCATATTTTTATTTTTAAAATTCCTGTCTATTCCACTCTATTATATCAAACATTTGCCGACAATTTAGAAATAACCAAATTATTTAAATATATAGCTGTTTTTTGGGAACCAATTCTGTATATAAATGTTATGGACTATAGTTGGCATCAATTTGTATGCAAACATTGTAGCATAAAATCAAGTGTCACATAAAGTGAATATGTATTTCATATGTGATGTAACCTATTATAGGATGTGTGCTCTCATTCGACCATTGGATTAGAGCTCTATTGGAGAGCACTTCCAGAGATGAGATGACACTCTATTGTCTATTGTTTTCAAATGCATTTCGTAACACAATTTGCTATAAGAGTCAGTGATTCGTTTAAAAGGTAAGAGAATACGCTATAAGAATATTCTGTACATTTATTGCCATATACAGAATATTCTGTACATTTATTGCCATATACAGAATATTCTGTATACAGTATAGGTATAGTGAGATAGACATAACATGACTTATTCCTTAATTATTAGGACTTTTGTTAGCCTTTCGAGCAAACAATCTCCTAATGCATTGCATTGTATACTCAACTCGCGATACAATAAACACAAACATAAGTATAAACTGAATCTCAAAACACATTTCACGTCCACTGGCTTTCTGGGACTCATCGGCAAATCAAATGCAAAACGTATGGGGAATGGCTCTCAACATACGGATCGCAACTGAAAATATTGACTCAAAAAAAGTTGTACCAAAAAAATCTTGTGATGTATGCGATAGCCATAAATGATTTGTGTTAACTCGTTGTCAAAATGCAACCAAAAGTGAAACAATTTGTGACATTTTTATTCCTCACAAATATTTTTTCAGTTCACTTACGCGCTAAAGATTTTTTGATATTAATTGTCGACATATTAGATAAAAATATTACTTTTTGTACCAAAAATCGAGATTTCTTTTATGATACATGTCTTATGCAAAGTTTTTTTTAGTGATCAATATTATTGACATTTCATAATATGTTTGTCCCAATATTTAAATTACAACTTTCGATAAAAAATATTTGTTTTGTTGGGTTTAATCGATATTTGAATGTTTTAAAAATGAAACTTTTGTGTGTCAAAAAAGTTTAGACAAATTTCAGACATACATTAAGGTTTGACATAAAAAATAGTGAAGACACATCAAAAACAATAGATTATGCATTGAATTCTGAAAAAAACATAAAATTGAAAAAAGTTTATAATATTTTTAAGACATGCTTTGGGCGGGACTTATGCCGCAAAGAATTTGAGAAAAGATTACAAAATTATATTTCACTTCAATCATTATCTCTGACATGTCTTTTAGGGAATCGCCTATAATTATATCATTTGCTTAATATCATTTAATTATTGTTTTATTAAATAACACACGAGTGAATTAGTTTGTATTATTGATACTAATAAACATGATTAATATTTGTATTAACTCTCACTATACTAATTATCAGAATTTTGTTTATATATTAATATAATTTTGCTAATATTTTATCAATTACTTTAATACTGTAATATTACGTTTTTATTAAGAAATTTTTAAACATTTAATATTTATCATTTAAATTTTATAATAAAGAAAAATCATTTTGAATACTTTACTTCACATTCAAATAGTTTAATGAAATATTAAAATAAGAAATAAAATCATCTAAAATTGTATGTAATCTTAATGGCTACAAATATATTTCTAAAGCAACCCTTATTTACAAAATAACGCAAACATATGTCTACTGTTTGACAAATAAATGTATAATTTTAATAGATAAACAAACTTTTATTGTAAATATTATTAAATTTTGCCATTTTAATAGCGTTCAAAATTATGCTCTTTTAGATAGGAATCTCATATCAAATTCACAAATAAAATACATTTTTGAAATATTTTATATATACATATATATATATATCCTACAAGAATTTTATTGAAATATTTCCATTTATTCCATACATTTATATTTCTCTCAAAAAATATTATACAAAGTTTGAATATTTTATACGTACAGTATATGTATTTTTTGTATTCAATTCTCAAACAATATTTGAGTCAAGAATGCAGACACAGATAAAACTAAATGCGAGAATAAAATGAAATAAATTGTGATAAAAATAAAATGAATGAATGAAAAGGTAGAGGAATAATGAGGGAGAAAAATGTTGAATTATGTATCTGTGATATTGTGTGCAAACATTGTATTTAATGGCTATTAGTTATAATACTTCCCAAAACTATCATTTATTTGATAGCCTTATGCAGTCGCTATAGAAAAGTTCACTCTAAATGTTTGCCTAAAGTGAATAAATAGTTATATAAAAGTTATAGACCTTATATTGTAATTCACTAATAATAATAGTAATATATTTGATGTAAATATGTTGTTAAAGCAATAAAGCTTTGCAAACGCTTATAGAATTTCTAATGTATTCCCATATCATATATTTCGCATCAAATATACACTATTTTGTCGCTTATGGCATGTATTTATGTGTTAAATATAAATAATAATAAAACCATTTGTTAATTTAATTAACACATACTTACACTCAATAAAAGGTTTGTTGCTTTTAACTCTAAAGTCTAAACATTAAGTAATATTTAAAAATAATTTTATGTAAATTTTAATTTTAAATGATACACTATGATTGATGTTTATAGTTCATTTACTATACAAACTTAATTGATTTCAAATAGTATTATTCTGTAATTAAATTCCAGTGCAACTACAATAAAGTAATTATTTTGGCTTAATGTATTTTAAAAATAAATTAATTGTTGTTTATATTGACTTATATTTCAATTGTTTTCGAGTATGTATTGAATGGCAAAAGTAGACAACACTTTCGTCATAAGATTTATTCCGTTTGATTGAATGAAAGATTATATAAATAGTTAAGACAATTGATTAAACAGTAAATGGAGAATAAATAGATTGGGAGAGAGAGAGAGAGAGAGAGAGAGAGAGAGAGAGAGAGTAAAACAATTCACATTTAATTATTTAGAAACTAAAACTTAAGTCCAGTTTATATACAGAGTTAAGGCATAATTGGTTCAATTCAATGCAATGAAGTATTGCTTTTTAGACCATCTCTCAGAGTCAGTCAATGAGTGAGTGAGTGAGTAGGGAGGGAGGGAGAGAGAGAGTAAAACAATTCACATTTAATTATTTAAAAACTAAAACTTAAGTCCAGTTTTATATACAGAGTTAAGGCATAATAGTAAACATTTGAGATTTATCTCATACAACGATCATTTTCTATCAATTGTTTGTTTTATTTGTTTTGTATTTTAGTACTCTTTTTATATCATTATTCTTATTGTGTGTATTGATTAAGAAATTTTCATTGTATTCCTGTATTCAGGCCATTAGTTTTGATTGTAAATTAAGCTAATCTACAGTTAATGTAATGAAGAGTTCATTTTGTGGCCTTTTTTCGCTGTTTCGTATAAATTATATAAAGCGTACGAAAGGGACAGACAAATAAAAACTACCAGTGCTTTCACTACTTAAACTTAATTTTGTGTTAATTATTGCTTATTAGACATTAGGTTTTTATCATAATTAGTTGTTCGTAAGGCATAGAGAATTCAATTTTACACAGACTTTATAGAGAGCTGTTGTTCCCCTTATATAGAATAGTATATCTAAAAAAGGAAACCTTTATTGTCGCGTCCCTTTCACTCCATTCGTGTGATTTTATAATATGTAGAGAGAGAGAGAGAGAGAGAGAGAGTAAAACAATTCACATTTAATTATTTAAAAACTAAAACTTAAGTCCAGTTTATATACAGAGTTAAGGCATAATAGTAAACATTTGAGATTTATCTCATACAACGATCATTTTCTATCAATTGTTTGTTTTATTTGTTTTGTATTTTAGTACTGTTTTTATATCATTATTCTTATTGTGTGTATTGATTAAGAAATTTTCATTGTATTCCTGTATTTCTGGCCATTAGTTTTGATTGTAAATTAAGCTAATCTACAGTTAATGTAATGAAGAGTTCATTTTGTGGCCTTTTTTCGCTGTTTCGTATAAATTATATAAAGCGTACGAAAGGGACAGACAAACTAATTCAAGAGACATATAAAAACTACCAGTGCTTTCACTACTTAAACTTAATTTTGTGTTAATTATTGCTTATTAGACATTAGGTTTTTATCATAATTAGTTGTTCGTAAGGCATAGAGAATTCAATTTTACACAGACTTTACTATAAAATGCTTAATATATAAAACTTTTTTAATTAAAAGTTTTATGTAAATAAATATTTTAAAATTTTGTTAAGCTAATATAAAACAATTTTTTAAAAATTGTTTAACATACAGTATTATTTTATGTTATTTAAAACTTTAATATATTATAAAGTAAAATATTTTTTAATAAAAGCTTTTATTTTTAATTTTGAGTAGAATTGGAGCAGTATTCACATTTGATATGAAATATATTTCTGTCTAAAAATGCAAATAGAAATTTGTATTGAAGTTCATTGAAGTGTTTATTCAGTTTTCACAAATTCATTGGACTATAATTCTCTCTCTCTCTCTCTCTCTCTCTCTCTCTACATATTATAAAATCACACGAATGGAGTGAAAGGGACGCGACAATAAAGGTTTCCTTTTTTAGATATACTATTCTATATAAGGGGAACAACAGCTCTCTTTTCCTCCCGAAGCTAACAATGAGAAGAATTTATCGTTAAATATAAGAAATGACGAGAAGAGGAAGAAATCTAAACTAAAGTAGCGGTCGTTTTGGGGTTCAATTCAATGTAATGAAGTATTGCTTTTTAGACCATCTCTCAGAGTCAGTCAATGAGTGAGTAGAGAGAGAGTCAAATAGGAAGAATGAATGTCAAAAAAGTTTACTATTATGCCTTAACTCTGTATATAAAACTGGACTTAAGTTTTAGTTTTTAAATAATTAAATGTGAATTGTTTTACTCTCTCTCTCTCTCTCTCTCTCTCTCTACATATTATAAAATCACACGAATGGAGTGAAAGGGACGCGACAATAAAGGTTTCCTTTTTTAGATATACTATTCTATATAAGGGGAACAACAACTCTCTTTTCCTCCCGAAGCTAACAATGAGAAGAATTTATCGTTAAATATAAGAAATGACGAGAAGAGGAAGAAATCTAAACTAAAGTAGTGGTCGTTTTGGGGTTCAATTCAATGCAATGAAGTATTGCTTTTTAGACCATCTCTCAGAGTCAGTCAATGAGTGAGTGAGTGAGTAGGGAGGGAGGGAGAGAGAGAGAGAGAGAGAGAGAGAGAGAGTCAGTTGAATAAGTAAATATCAATTTTGAAGTAAATGAAAGAGTGAAATGTGAAATACATAACATATAAAAAAGATATTTTCTTTTTGCTTCCCATTTCTCACTATATTTGATATTATATGCGAAAAATACAGTGAAAAGTGTTTATAAAGAAGATTAAGCCAAGCGTTTCGCTACTATTACTACAGAGTAGTTATGGCACTAGTAATGGTTTTGCATCATTTTTGGGGTTTGTTTTACTACATATTCTTAATATTACTGAATATATATAAAAATTATGTATTATATTCTCTGTGTGTATATATCAAACACAGCATAATATGTAATATTTTCGGTTTATAATACTTTGTGCAGACATTCACCGCTATCGCAGTGTAACAGATGTACTCCGAGCTATATATTTAGTTTTTGGATCTATTTTTTCAACAAAAAACTCGTATTTTTTTCAACTCTTTTATTCCCCTCACTATTTGTCAGATAGTTTTTAAACAATATTAATCAAAATTAAATTAAACTTTTTTGACATTCATTCTTCCTATTTGACTCTCTCTCTCTCTCCTCTCTCTCTCTCTCTCTCTCTCCGCAAAATTGATACCTTTCTCTCTCTACAATCCAATAGGTTTTTACTATATTTTCTATTGTGTTGTCGCCTTATATGTTGTGTGAATCACGTAATAAATCAATGGTCGGATAAAACAAGTCTTTTGTCTGTCGCTTCAAATGTTTTTCACTTTATTTGACTCTAATTTTTTCAATGGACTCAACGTTTGCGTCTATTTATGTTTGCGTAGAAGTCCTCGGATTAGTTTAAGTCTTGACAGAGATTTGGGTATATTTTTAACTTTTGATTTTTACTTTTTTAACTTTCATACTTTAATGGTTTTGCATCATTTTTGGGGTTTGTTTTACTACATATTCTTAATATTACTGAATATATATAAAAATTATGTATTATATTCTCTGTGTGTATATATCAAACACAGCATAATATGTAATATTTTTGGTTTATAATACTTTGTGCAGACATTCACCGCTATCGCAGTGTAACAGATGTACTCCGAGCTATATATTTAGTTTTTGGATCTATTTTTTCAACAAAAAACTCGTATTATTTTCAACTCTTTTATTCCCCTCACTATTTGTCAGATAGTTTTTAAACAATATTAATCAAAATTAAATTAAACTTTTTTGACATTCATTCTTCCTATTTGACTCTCTCGCTCTCTCTCTCTCTCTCTCCAAAATTTATACCTTTCTCTCTCTACAATCCAATAGGTTTTTACTATATTTTCTATTGTGTTATCGCCTTATATGTTGTGTGAATCACGTAATAAATCAATGGTCGGATAAAACAAGTCTTTTGTCTGTCGCTTCAAATGTTTTTCACTTTATTTGACTCTAATTTTTTTCAATGGACTCAACGTTTGCGTCTATTTATGTTTGCGTAGAAGTCCTCGGATTAGTTTAAGTCTTGACAGAGATTTGGGTATATTTTTAACTTTTGATTTTTACTTTTTTAACTTTCATACTGGAATGACGTCCCCTAGAAACTGGATTTTCAATGTATTTGTTAAGGATTTTAAATATATTAATATTTTAATTTATCTCTAAAATGCAACAAAATAAATAATTTATATAAAGGAGTCCATATTACTATAATCTTAGAAAAAACTAACTTTTAAAATAACCTAATGTTGTATTTTCTATTAATAATAAGCTTACTACAAATATGGCAACAAAATTATTTAGAAAAAAATAAGCTCTCAATTGGAAGATAAAACATGTCTTTCTTATATCAAAAGTCTTTTCATCAGAAAAGTAAACATTTAACCAAAAAATTACCACAAATTTTAACAATTTTTCTTCTTATTAGAGAAAATATAATTCACTTTAAGATCGGCTTTAAGTGTTGTGCACTTTTAGAGTACAACTATTAATACTCACTATAACTAACTGTATATAAACTTGTGTTGAGTAAATAACTTCATATTAGAAATTGTCTCTAAATTCTCGGTAGCAATCGATTGCTAAATACATATATGAAGTCAAACCCAATGAACCCATGGTTTGATCCAAAAATTTCATTCTTAACTTGAATTACATTTAGACTTAACATTAAATCCGCCAAAAATATAACTCTATATAACTGTATGTAATAATTCTCATAAGATTTTGTGCTCTCTTATGTGAATTCAATGATTAGACAGACGTTTAAAAAACTTTTTACGTTTGGATTTCTCGGTTCAACGTTAGCGAGAGAGAGAGAGAGAGAGAGAGAGAGAGAGAGAGAGAGACTGAAATAAAATAGAAATAAATATCAAATATATGGCCTAAAACTGTATTAGATTTAGTCTTTTCATCAGAAAATGTTATTTCGGTCGCAATAAAAGGGAATTATTTCTGAAATAAATATAAAATTTCTTAATCATTAGTTTTATTTTCTCTGCAACTCTTGGGTTTAAATTAAAATTTTCTCAACTATTTCTACTATATTTGTTTGAACGGCTTATTTAGAGATAGTTTTAATTAAAATCATGTACTCAACGATCGGTGTATTAAATTGATTGCATTTTTATTATAGGTTTCAAAACATTAATATGAAATCAAAATTACAATTTAGCCGTTCATTCAGAAATTGACCAAAAAATCAAATATTCAAATCACAAAAACACACTCAAATAGTCAATACATTTGATGTAATTTATATAATGTTTAATATATTAAATATTTGAGTAATTATGGCAAACACAGCAACTATTGGCTTAATTCGTGTCATATAAGTGAACATCAGTTTTATAAATCAATCAAACGGTCGATTCAATAGTAATTAAATAATAGAGTAATAAATAATTAAGTAAAGGGATGGTAGGCCTATCTGCCATCCCTTTTATGAGACTTCTTGTCCTCTTTTTGTCTGAGTTTTCGTCGTTTCTCTATCATATAGGCCTCCCATTCCTCCTTCGAGTACACTATCCTAAGGATACGCTCCCATAGGGACAGTCGCACCGGTAGATCATTGCCACCACTGTTGCCATCCATTGCCCGTCTATTGTACACACAATTCAAATAATACTTTAATTCAATAAATGAGTTAATTAATGATATTAATAACGATTAAAAGTGTTTTTCAAAACTCATTGCAATTTGCAAACCATATTTGACTCAATGTATTGAACACAACATATGACATGTGATTGTGTGTATAGTTTGAGTACATTTATGGCAAGCAATTTGTGTAATTAGTCTAATATATCACTTCACTGTAAGCTAGTTAATACTATACTAGAGTGTTATTAACTATAATGTATTTAAATTAACAGTAAATTAATTGCACACAAAATATACAAACCTTTGAATAGTATGCGGTATTCAGTGCTATACTGACTGTTCACTTGAATATCGGCGCAAATATTCACAACTATTTTCAAATGATGTCTTCAATTAACAAATCAAATGTGTCTTAAAATTCAAAACAAATTTTATAATTAAATTAAAAGTAATGAAAATATATAACATGTATTTCACACAATATGTTTCACAAACAACTTACTCATACCATTAGAAATAAAGTTAACTCACGTTATATTAGCACATAATACTGTACTAATGGTTACTATTGTAAAGTATCTAGGTTACCATTTAATATATGATACTTATAATTAGTGAATTTATTTAAATATTAATTGTAACTTGCTAATATTTGCATTATATTTAATGATAAAATAAATATGTTGTACACTATAATGAGAGTACATTGTATAAATAATAAAATGATTCAGACCGTATTTACAGTTTGCTATTTAAAAAGTAAGAGTCAATTGATTTGTATGTCATTTCAACTGCAAAATAGTTGTGTTTTAGACAACAGTTTATTAATATCTGATAAAACACTTGAGTTTTTAGCATTAATACAAACAACTCACGATATTTATAACAATTTATAATTAATGAATAGCAAATAGTTACTTTGTAAACGAAACTATTATGATTACACAGATAATCAACTATATAAATTTGATATTAAAATAAAAATTAAAAATAATAAATGACACAATGTTTAGGTTTTGCAAAAATTCAAATACCGGTTCTCTCTATTCGTAAAGTTAAGGTTTTTTAACAGGAAAGTTAGACTAAAAATAGTCAGCTATTGTAGTGTAGGAGTTATGACAAGAATATTCTCATTCATAACGACATCTTTGGTTCAAGAATTATAACAATTTAACTCTCGTTTCGCAATTAATGTCCTTGATCAAAATCAGCTTGCTTTTTAAAATTAGTAATTTATTCTATTATAATGAAATAACTTATTCTTTTTTAAATAAAATAATTACTTATCATTAAATGAAATAAATAACAAAGCTATTTATACTGTATAACGACTCTAAACTTAAAATCAAAACTTAAAAATCATTAAATAAAGTTAATTACAATATCAAATAAGTTTAATATTTTTAAATTTTACATGGAATAAATACTTTGGTTACTTTATTGAATTATATTGCCCCTTAGAAAACTCTGTAATTGCTTTATTTTAACGTACAATGGTCAAATTTTACAATGTATTATACAATCATTTATACAGAAATATTTAATACATTCACCAAAAATATAAACACTGGTCAAACTACCTTGAATAATAAATATTTAACAAATATTTTATAGGTAAGCAGGTAACTCACGACACAATTAGCACAGTATATATAAAACTCGTAGTTATTCATAGGAAACAAATCTAAACAATAGAAACCAATTTCAGGTCCAAACAACTTCTCTATAAAACATCCAACTTTTAACTTATGTGTTAAATGACCATGTCTTTTGCTGCTCATAAATGTACACAACATTTTGCGAGACTTTTTAGCCACCGTGCTAATACGGGTGCACATTATATTGACCACAAAAGTAATCGAAACTACAATGATCACATTAATGGTCATGGCTAATTTTGCATAAAAATATAACCCATTTTCTAATATCGCAAAAATACAAACCGCTGCCAAAGGTGTGACAAAATAATAGATTATAAATATTGGGTAACAGAAAAAGTCATTGATTTTCTTCAATTGTATTGATATATAGTTGTGTTCACTGATGGCTCGCATCAGTTGTGGATTATTACATAATTTTAAACTCATATCAATTTTA